AAGAATTTAACGTTTCATTAAATTAAACGTCTTTATCATTAGACACACCCTTATTTATTCTCTTGACAGGCAGCGTTTTAAAATTTAATTTCGGGGAAACTGCACGCTAACGAAAAATAAATATTTTCTTGCGACTTTGCCCTTATTTTATTTAGACTTGAATTGCGAAATTGAAACGGAAATTGCAAACGACCTAAAGTTTGGAAAAATGTTCCACATGAGAAAATTCAATATGATATACAAGATGGAAAGTTCAACAAAATGCGAATTCACCTGTGCCAATAAAACGATGTGCCAATAACCCCCCCCCCCCCAACACACACACACACACCCTTACCAAACACGCAAAAATAACATATGAAATATGGATATGAAATATATGAAATGGGGTTTAATGTCCTACTGTTCTGCTCCTAAACTGGGCTAATGAAGGCGGGCATACGCCATACAGTGTGCTATGAGTGAAATTTTGCCCGGGCAGCGACGCTACGGCCTACTCTTATATCGAATTCCAACTGCCAAGGGATCTTTTACGTGCACGCCAGTATGTACACGGGGCCTCGGTTTTTCGTCCCATCCGAACGACTAGACAGCTGTCCTTTTCAGGCCCTCCGTCCTGCATCACTGACAAGGGGAAACCACGCCGGAAAATCTGGATGAACTTTCTCGGCCAATGCAGGGATCGAAAAGCCGACCTCCAGGCTAGCGAACCAGCGTCTTACCCACTTAACCACGTGATCCCCTCGCAAAAATAACAATAAAATAATCAAATAAAGAAATCAGTTATAATCATATATAAAAAGATACAAAAATAAGGCGTAAACGCCCCACCCCACCATAACCCCAATTCCTTTTCCAAAAGATAACAAATTAAAATTTCAAAAACCATTAAGCTTGATGTAAAGATTCACAAAATCTTTTTAATTGGTTTATTGATATCGTTGATGTTCTTCAACATCTCGCTTTCTTATTATAAAGACATCATGACAAAATCCGTCTGTTATATCGGCATAGCGGAATAATTTCTTAGTTGTTATGTTCTGTGTTTCGAGTTTCTACTGACTTAAGGTATCACTACACATATTGGACATTTTCTTTCAACAAACATCATCTCGTCAAATCTTTTATTTTGACAGTTTATAAATGAGCGGGAAAACTCGGACCGGCTTCAAAACAAAACACACGGGTATTTAAAACAAAACATGCAAAACAAAGAAAGCTCAGATGAAAACAAAGAGATGACGAGTTTATTTGATAGGTGATGATCTTGTGTTCGTCTTACATAGAAAACATCATGGTGTTTGCCTAATTAAACAGCCACTACAAATAATCACCAGAAAATGAGCATATGTCACACAATACTCTTTATACCGACAATAACCACACAAAGGAGATACTTTGGACGTTAAATTTCGCTGTTTATGCACCATTTGAGCTCGTTACAGATCAATTACGTCATTTCAAGCGTAAAATTGTACCATTTCTTCACTTTTATCCTACGTAATATTCAAGAGATTGAAACCAATTACTCTAGGGGCTACTTATTCCGCTCAGCGACTTATTGGGCGAGACCAACGATTTATTGCCCCTGGCTTAATTTAAAGACCCTACACGTACTTTAACGGGTTCACAGATTGACATGATTTTTGTTCTTAAATATACTCATTTTGATTTGCGAAAAAAAACTCCTTCAAATTGAGAGAGAGAGAGAGAGAGAGAGAGAGAGGGGGGGGGAGAGAGAGAGACGTATTCAAAAAGTATAAACTATACTGGGGTATTATGCAATAAGCCGCTATCGGATCTAGTCAAATATATTTTAAGAGAGAGAGAGAGAGAGAGAGAGAGAGAGAAATGGGTCACTGACACAAACTAGGTCACCTCGGAACTAACATATGGTTCAATTTTATTTCAATAATTCGCTTGCGCGTAGGGGTATTTAGCAGTGGGGGGAAACCGGGGGACCCGGAGAAAACCCACGAGGTTGGACAGGCGACCCTACTTGTCACGTACAACCGGGGAATCGAAACCAAGCCTGTTGACTCAATGAAAGACCTTATGATACAGCACGCGCACGCTAACCATACGAATAATATCATATTTATCATAAATTTGTAATAAACAACAACAACAAAAACACGAATAATTGACAAGAATATTGTACGAAAAAGAAAGCAGGGTTGTTATTATTACCTAGTCTAATTATGGAAGTATTAAATCAATATAAAACAAATGTAAACTTTAAATAGCCATAACCTCAGTTTGAAATCTTTTAATAAATGTATCTTTGATTGTGTATGGACTCTGTATTTAACCCCAATTCGAACATGCCGAGATTTAAAAGAAACTGGTTAATTACTTCACAAAATGTTTCTAGTTCGCAACAATTTTAAACCGCTCGCTTATTCGAAACAAAGAGGAATCGACATAATGCAGGGATTATCAGTTAAATGCCACTGGCAGAACGATTAATGTGCCTATTTTAAACAACCAACTAGATACCATGGTTAGGTGAACAACAGAGTGCAACAAACCATCTGCTACTGTTCTAATATACTGTTGATTAATTATAATGATCCAATTCAATGTTGTCCATGATAAACTGAAATAATCGTCAATTAAAGAATAACGCACTAGGTTTTTTTTATATTCTTTTTTTTTTATCAAGGTAGGGATAGCGAAATGAGAAACGTTCACTTGACAGGATAAATATTCCAAGCTGAGAGTAACATTTGTCTAGTCATTCTTTTTGGATATAAATTTTTGCTCGTTCGTCTTTCTCTTCAGTCCTCACGGCAGATTTCCATTGATTACACCAACGTATAATTTCTCTAGTTTGCCACGCTAATGAATTATAATGAATGAAGGAAATGTAGTTTAACGTGAAAATGAAATGGGATTTAACGCCCTACTGTCCTGCTCCTGTTCTGAACTTTCTCGGCCAACAAATGATCGAACGCGGGACTTCCAGGTTAGCGAGCAACGTCCTATTCACTGGGCTTCTGTGACTCCGTGGAGTTTAACGTCCCGCTTTATTGCGGCATCCTGGCATACGCCATACCTTCCGAACGACTGGGCGATTTTCTTTACCCAGCATTCCATCGCACTCTGCACTGGCAAGGGCAATCCACGGTGGAAAATCCTTGGGAACTTTCTAGCTAATGAATTATATGTATCCCTGGTTTCTTTTGTATATTACACTGGACCAAAAATTAAAAAAAGGAGCGATGGCTTATCAATGCATCCCTACTCACATGTTGGAAAAGTTGCTTAAGTTGATTTTTTGAAAGATCTCTACTTCTGTCAAGCTAATTACTGCCAACGTACTACTGTTACAATTATTATGTAAATATCTGGCCATAGATATTTATTAGAATAAGACTTCCTATGATATTGTGAACAAAAGTGGAGAAAATGGCATTAAAGACTGTTAAATGGTTAAATAGTTAAATGGTTGTGTGTAAGACAAATTTGTGCCTTGGCCTTTCGGTTAACCCACTACTGGTAGATAGATACCCTTGGTAACGATCAAGCTATAGGCTATCTGTCGCATTACATTATGATCGAGACTATAACACCGTGTTAAATAACAATCTCCATTTTTAGAAGGCAGATAAGTGTCGAGATTGGACACGGTCCATTTGGCCACTAATACGACAAATCTGAGAATTTTAGGAACAAAGCAACGTCTTTTCAATGTCATCTAAATCGGAAACAGTAATGCGAAACTTTAACTGCACTAGCCGACTTTATCTGCATAGCGTGTTAACAATTGCAGCAAACTAATCAACAAATCGTTCAAAAATATTTAATGTCGTCTTATCACAGTATCCAAAGCTTGGCACTGAAGATATGGAAAAATACAGACGAGCAGTGGTATGACATCTCAAGGCAAAATTCACTGTGCTGTTGTGGGGTGTCGAGTGAAATATGATATATTTATTGAAGAGGAAGCTGAGACGATATTACACCGGTGTGAAGTAGTGTTAATTAAAGATTATACAAATAAAATGAAATAACACCAAGCGTCATGGTAGTACAGATGACACGATAACGGTAAATTGGTTGTGTATTTGCGTGAGAGATATCCTAACTTTAGCTTCTACCATGATCTCAACGGTATGGTAATCGTATGGCACGCGCTCTTTAGGGAATCTCGGGTTATTTGAGTTTTCGCGAGATTTAGCCTTTGGTTATTTCTTTCTCGTGACAAAACGAGATAAATATTATTGGCTACGGGTTACGAAAACAAACACGGCGACTTATCCGACACTCAATGTTTGTTGATATTTGTAGTAGATAAAATTTACGACCACCAAAAGTTTTCTAAATATTGGTAACTGTTTGTGTCCAAGATGGCCGATTGATGGCGGCCGTGTGCGGTATTGGGAAATATCAAATCTAAAATATACAAACAACATGTCAGCAATGGCGTATTAATATCTTAGTTGAACCCGATGGTATTTTCACAACACAGCGTTTGTAACAAAGTGGTTAATATGGATCTGAAAGACAAGAGTCAAGGAATCCTGAAAGTTTGGCGAATCTCTTTTATCATGTTGTTGCCACACTTGACGATGTTTTTAGAAAACAAACACAAACTATCCAGCATGAACGAGAAAACGACTTTCTCTTCGTATAACCATTCAAGTTTATCATGCAACAAAGCTGGGCACCAAATGATGTTATATAACAAGTATAAACCACATCCAATATCAAGGTCACCGTCACATTTAGGTAATTATTTCCATGTAAGTGAGGAATTGGACGGAAAAAAAAATAAAAAAAATAAAGATAAATTTTGAAATTTGAATTGATGAATTGGTTAAATAATTATCAGCATTGGATATTTACATAACGTGTGATTAAAAAACGGTATAATCAATTTATAGCTTCTTCTATTATATATAGTTCTAATTCAAATTTGTAACCGGAGTCTAGATTTATGTCCAACCAAAGGATTTCATTATTTGACATTAATTGACCACCGGCTTTCATTAATGCCCAACACTCGTTCATATTTTTATACTTTATATCTCATCATTCCAATAAATTAAAATCACAAATACAAATACATACAAAACGAAGAAAAATCATAAAATAAATTTTTAGTCTGTTAGGCCTCTGCAAATCATGTTCCTGTCACAAAAGTTTCTTTTGCTGCATTTATCTTTTTAAAGTTGTTTAATCACTCAAATGTTAACACTTATCCCAAAATAGAGCATAGATAGGAAGTAATAAGGGGTGATTTTAATTCCACAAAGGTAAATTGTGAATAACGAAAATAAGAAAAACACCTTGACAACAAAATGTTATTTTTTGCACGACAGCAATTAGTGAGGAGAATTTTTTTTGTTATTTATAAATAGAGGAGTCATTGTCTACATTAGTTTCAAGTCGCCATCGTCAACATTCCGCCATTGTTCCGTCCATTAATAAAAATGTGTATTGACAAATAAGCCATGTTTTAAAACTATTGTAAATGTTATTGTAACAGCGTGTGGTTTTGTTTAGCATTTTGTTATTGTTCTCACAATATAACAAGTAAATGGTTTATTTTTATTCATAATATTGTTGTCTGTTACATGGCCACCAACTCTCCAATAGGAGGTAAAATGCACTCATTGTTCACTACCGGTTCCACACATTGTACTTTACTTGATGTCATTTCCGCTTCTGTTGTAACAGGCTTTTGATCACGAGGAGTTAATTGGCGCCAATCTGGCTGATATTGTTCCGAGTAGGCCTTAAAGATTGTTAACATGTCGGGTATATGGGCATTTGGATTGCTTACCGCAAGACTCCGTAATTTCGCAGTAGAGGGGGCGCCCATTGCCCATCTGACTGATCCTGGTTTATCCGATTTTGGACGTCTCGATTCTGATTCGTTAATTTCACTAAGTAACATCCTCCTGGCATCGTGCCCATCTATCAAGTTCTCATCTAAATTCTTCTCAATTACGTTTTGCCTACAGACAGTTGGTAATCTCATAGTACTATCGAGGGACTGAGACACTGTGTGGGTACCATGTTGACAGAGAGGTATCCAAGATTGGTGGTACATCCTACTCTGTCGAGCGAACGATATAGCAAATTGTTGAGCAGCGCGGTTACCATAAGTTTGCCCCGTTAGAGCTCTAGATCCAACAGTCTTGATTTCGTAGCTCTTCTTCGTCCAATCTCCAGCATTTAAGTAATATTCATTGTCTTTGAGCGTTGGCGAAGCTTTGCCTTTGGTCAAGAGAACATAAGCCGATGCATAATGGCCGTTCTTACAGCATATCAACAAAGCTGTATAACCTAAAGTGTTTCTTCGGTCAATGTTCAGTCCGTATTTGAGATAAGTGTCTGCTAACATTTCCACAATCCGGGGATTACCGCAGAGACAAGAGTGATGTAACGGTGTATTGCCATCATTGTCCGGTTCGTTTATATCCAAAATATCCTCGGATAATATCTTAGCTACGATCTTCTCCTTCCCATTCATACAAGCATACCCTAATGCTGTTCGTCCTAAATTGTCTTTGATGTTCATAAAAGCTCCAGCCTCTAAAAATATTTTCGCCATTTTGTAACCAAGGTCTTCATTTTCGATGAAACAGGTCAACATAAGTGCCGTTCTACCATTAAGATCCCTGGAATCGATGTTGACATTATGTTTTGAGACCAAAAGTCTGACTTGGTGCAGACGACAATCCAGCACAGCCTGGTGAAGAGCAGTTTTTACCAATCGTTTGGCCATAGGTGGTAAATCCATTGTGTGTTTTTGTTTTCCAAATGCTGAAAATTAGAAGACATTTTATATATTATTTTTCACTATAATATAGAACATGTTGTCAAAAGTGGTGATATTTGATATTAAGTCTTTTCTTATTGTTCCAACGTCCAGACTATACAACGCGGTTTCCTCTTGTCAGGAGGGTCTGGCAAGGAGAGTGTCTAGCCGTTTGGATGGTACGAAAAACCGAGGTCCCGTGTAAACATTGGCGTGCACGTAAAAGAACCCCTGACAGTTCGAATTCGAAATAAGAATATGTCGTACCAGGTTAATGAAAATGGGCATATACGCCATACAGTGTACTATGAAGGAAAATTTTCCCGGACGGCAATTAGATTCAAACTGTCAAGGGCAAACCACGCTGGACGATCTCGAGATCGATTCGTGCGCCATCCCCTTACTCACTAAGCCTAATTTTGTTTAATCTAAATAATGAAAATGCCTATCTGATATCTGGCACATCCAGGCTTTAATGTGATTCATTTAATATCGTCCACACTGATATCTACCCGTCAATACGATATACCTTTACTATTAATATGCAAGAGGTACATAGGATATCTATAAGTTATTTTTAAATAATAAAAATGTCACCTACCTTTAACAACTGTCCTACAAATAGTGTGTTTGTTTCTATGTGGTTCTGTTTCTAATGAAGTACTTTATCTCGGTAACTCATAGCATAAAAAAAATCACTATATAATAATCTACTTCATTTAATCCTTTGTCTTATTGGATTACACGGTCGTTAATCTTATTCAGTATACATTGTACTTATATTATATATGAAATGGTATATTATCCCATTGAACCTATAACCGCGTTATTACCTATATAAGATTTAGGTTTATATACCTATTGAATATGTGGTGTACAGTTTGTTTTATACGTGTGACTACATGAATACCAATTAATAGTGTGTGCGTTTAACTTCTATTACATACCGTCATATAAATATGTCAAGGTCATCGTACACTAGTAACAATCTGTAGTCTTGATTATGTAGCCTTTTGTTACAAAATTTAAATATGCAAGCAAAATAGCAGATAACAAGCTGATATATGTTCGAATTGCATGTAAAGAATGCGAATCCTTTAAATATATAATAGTACCAATTAAAGCGGCGCTATCACCTTCCCCACATGATTTTTATCTGTAACTTCAAAATAACTCAGGACTCTCCTAATTATGCAAGCTCTAAGAAGTGAACTACTTTGAGCCACGTATAAATATAATGTCATGAAGACCTCCAATATACCTTCATATTGTAGGAGTGCAAATTATTTGATTAAAACAAGACGAAAGAAAACTTCTTCATCATAGAAATTGATTAATGAATATGGAATTCATATTATGTGCACATGCTTAGTGAAATCGCATATTTTTTCTTTTCTTTTTTTGCTGGCGAGAGTGAGAGTGCTGCTTTAAGTTTGACTTGACCTTATCAAAAATGTATATGCCCCTATCTTTTATCATTGGTCCAATCAATGTGTATTAAGCAAATCCTTCTAATCTGAAAAGGTAGTGTTTAAAATTTAAATCAATCAAGTTATCTACCTAGATCAAGCCTTTAAATATTTGATTGTAAATGAATTGTAGGCCGTTCATTTAAAGCAGTACAAATCGGTCAGTAATTGTTCTGTTCTTTTGTTGTTATCGGATTTCAGTGGATCACAATTTGAACGAAAAGCGGTTTATGGTTACACGGGATAATCCATTCTAGATAACAAAATATAATGAAATATTTTTTTCTCTAACCTTGTGTCCATGGTGATTAAGACTACAATATATCCCACACTGCCACATGACGTGCACGTGGGGGTCTTTAGCTATGAATTAATACATTTTATTGTTTGGCCAACCAAATGGATTGTAATAAATGATCTAGACTATAAGTGGGTCTCCTAGCACAAAACCAAGGATCGTTTTCTATTGAGACCAAGGCAATAAAGACCATTATAGGGTCATTTATCGATTGTGTTGAAGGCTAAAGGAGTCCATGATCAGCATAAATTAGAAACCAATATAATACCCAATGTAAATTTGACTTGTAATATGTAAATAAAGATATTATTTATTCAGTAATTTTTTTTTCATTTATTGTCTTTTTAGAGTATTGTCTTTCTTGAAAGCAATAATTGAACATAAAATACACAAAAAACCCTACGCCATAATTAAAGGGTTTTAAAGGTCCAATGTACAATATCACACGTTTCGTATATAGCTATAGTACCATTACTTGATATGCTAATTACAATTATTAAAATCTCGATACATCAAAAGTTGATAGTCATTCTTCTTACTTAAAGTGACACGGGCGCTTTTATTTGGATAAAACAATATGATTTGTTTTTTAGGATGTCAGATATAAGCGAGTTTTTTTTTCAACTGTTGACAAAACTAGCCCCATTCCGCTTAATCTTTCGGATCAAATTTTTCGTCGGGTAAAGCTTTCGCCATCACTAATCGAAATAACACACCAGATCAATCCGAATTCGATACTTATTTCACCGAAATCTATGAGGTTTAGCTCCTTTAAAGTAACTGAACAAATTTAAGGGCCGAATGTGTTCTTTAGTTAGATGTCATATTGACCTCATGGATTAACTAACAAGATATTCCACGATTGATCGATTTTGATAATTTGTGTGCTTTTTGATAAGAATACGTATAAAAATTATGGGCTGAGGGTCTATATTTGCTCTTTAGCCTGGAATGTTGTACCTTTAAGAGAGACCCGAAAAGGTTTTAATACTGTTGTGTTGTGAGTTTAGTACACTTTCATTAAGACCGAATTTGAAACTTTGACGTTGCATTTATTTTTTTAGCATACACATTCCCAAACCGGCACGCGTTTTAAAGATACGGGTTTTCAGAAATTGGCACGTTCCGTCAACCCTGGCATTGCTCGAACACAGTTCATCCATAATGTGTTACCATTAATGGAAACAAAACGCGGTAAAAGTAAAGAATTTGATCCCCCACTCATTATCGTTTATATTACTTTGATGTTAGTATTTTGGTCAGGTAAATATTAGATATATCAATAATATAATGACAAGAAAAATTCCACACAATAAAGCAACTAATTGATATTATTTTCTCAATTAATAACCGTTTATTTGTAATTCTGTATATTTGTGATCCAGCATGAATTGATGATATTAATTATAGACTAGGAATACAAACAGACAATTAAATATATTTTCATGAAATATTTTTCTATTGAAAGTATCTTACTTTATTCTTATTAAATAAACACTGTAAGGAACTAATACTATTTCTCTTAATTTTTCGAGTATTTAAACAATAGAAGTTTTCGTATGGTTAGAGGGATAATTTGGACATTTGTATATAACATAATTATTTGAATAGATCTTTTGTTTTCTGTACAAATATCTTAGAATGGTGTTTTATTTTTACAATTTGTGTTCAAGTAGATCAAGGTTATCTATATTGCAAAACATTAACTCATTTTTCACCAATTATCCGCTTTTATTTTTCATTTGAAAGACTACGCGGAAGTCGATTAGATCTGAACACTAGCTCTACGCTCAGACGTAGGGTTCACATTGTCATCCCAGAAAATAAATCAACACAATTTTATTTTCGATTAAGAGATCTACCCATATTAAGTTTTGTCAACTTAAAATTTGCTTAGGTTAGTTTTGCATTGCCATCTTTTTATGTCTTATATTAAGCAGTAATAATAATTTTGCTATCTTTTTTAAACAATCCAGTTCATTTTTCGTGACTATTCTTAACACTCAGGTGTGCTTAGCATCATAATAACCACAGTCTTTACATTAAATAGTACATGCTTTTGGCATTTGAATTGTAACGGAAAGGTCGGGCTTGAAGTGTCTTTGATGAATTTGTAACTGTTTTACTCATTTTTTCTTTAGTGATTTTCCGATCCCAAATGTCAACCTCTAAGAAACTACTGAATAACGATGATAAAAATAATGTAGTTTTAAGACAGGCTTTTAAAATAGCAGCCATCTTTATGTAACATATGCCAAGATATAGTTTAATTTGGCAGTGAAATATTTATTTGAAGAGCTGAAGTTAATGTTACTTCAAGTCGCTGTCGATCATAAACTGTTTACATATTCAATCATAATTACTTTCAAGTCTATATGATCTGATGGTTCATAACGATAAAATGCGAAACTAATAGTTTCTTGCGCAAAAAATAGCTTCACTAATTTTTCAAAAACGGAAACATGAATCAACTTGACTGACAGAAAAAAAGAAAAACTGTAAAGACGATTAGACGAAACACACACGCTAGGAGCGCGTGAAATTCAAATTTGTTGGTTTAAATCTCAGTGTGTTTTGCCTGGAATAATCATTGCTTTAAATTACCTAGGTCGTAGTTCGGCATTTCGTTTATACCAATGATCCGTAAATGTATGTTTCATTGTGAACATGTCGGAATAAGTCTGAGACATAGCAAGCAGGTGATATGTCTATATGATATATGACATGTTATATCACACCATAAGAAAATATGCGTGTTAATTTCCCGGTAGCAAATTTAGCATGGCCGTCTTGATTTCATTTCCTGGGGTAATTTACGAAATGCATCTGTTATGTAAGCATCTCGTAGGAATTGATAGGAATTTTTACCAAGAACTGCAAAAATAATGAATCGTTGAAATGATTACAACAAAAAGCGTTAAATGTTGTAAACAAATTGTTTCTATTTGGGTTGATGAATGTGTTTTTGGTACGAGTTATTCCGCTTACTATGACTATAGATATAACAGTATAATTACTGTAATCATAACAGATCTAATTACACAGTTAAATAATATATCTTAGCAGTCATTATCTCATTTTATAAGTTACTTGCGCGTTTTGAAACGATATGGAGTTTAACGTCATGCTTTTCTGTTCCTTTGGGGCTAATGAAGACAGTTGTACGTTAGGCCTACTGTATTCCACGATATTGCAGAAAGAATTCCTTGCGTTTATTACGCCACTGGCCGAACCGGGAACAGCTATTGTCAGTTGGAAAGGGTCGACACACTAAATAAATGCAATAAAAACATGGTCATTTTTAAGCTTGGATACGCCATATTGAAAAGTCTGATAATATTGATGAATTCACACGCATTCTTTAACTTGGCGTTGTAAAATATAATTTGAATAGCTGTTGTCATTATCTATTTTATGGTAGAATATATTATGGACAATCACCTTTGAGAGAAGTTAAGTAGGGCTATATTGCGCAACGTCAAGTATACAGAAATGAAATGAAATGAAATGGAGTTTAACGTCCTACTGTTCTGCTTCTAACATGGGCTAATGAAGACGGGCATACGCCATACAGTGTGCTACGAGGGAAATTTTGCCCGGGTAGCGGCGCTACGGCCCACTCCCTAATCGAATTCCAACTGCCAAAGGATCTTTTACGTGCACGCCAATGTGTACACGGGACCTCGGTTTTTAGTCCCATCTGAACGACTAGACAGCTGTCCTTGTCAGGCCCTCCATCCTGCATCACTGATAAGGGGAAACCACGCCGGAAAATCTGAATGAACTTTCTCGACCAATGCAGGGATCGAACACCCGACTTCCAGGCTAGTGAGCCAGCGTTTTACCCACTTAGCCACGTGATCCCCACGAGTATACAGTGCAATACACAAACAAATAATCTGAATATTAATAAGATCAAAATGAAAGCTATAGATATATGGATAAATTTGTGTTAAATACATAGGCAAAATAGATCAGCAGAAATAGATCGGCTTCAAAGAGTCGACAACCAAACCATCGTCGTAGAGTCTACCTAACGCATGATGGAGATCTGTTTCGAAATTTCGACAGATTTATATGAATTTAGGTAAAAGAAGTCGTCTCCCTTTCCGGATTATCTCTAAAACCATACCAAAGCTATTAACGGTGATTTTA